GTGCTTTGTCTTCTACCTTTGTTGAACTGCTATATAATCCTTGGCATTGCTATTAACAAATAGGCCCTTTTTATAATTGCATGAGTCTTGGAATGGGATGGCTTGCTTAGATCTTCTATGAGTTCTGATGGCCAAGATCAAGGAGAGCATGGTAAAAATGATGACTGTGGAAGATGAATCTGGCTGCTACATACGGTTAAAAATTGGGTGCAGTGACTTGGCTCAAAGAGTGGCTAAGGTAGGATAGTCTAGGATTTAATCAGATCTAATAATACTTCCTGTATATCATATATCACCCTTCATACCAAGGTATAAAACTGGAAGGGACCAGGAAGATCATTTGAAGAAAAACAAAACAAGCCCTTAAAGGCTTGATGCTCTGTAAATTAAAGGTGAAGGCCCACTCGTTTCTTAAAGGAGAACAATTTATTCAGCAACTAGTTATTTATTGAACTTTCACCATGTCTCAGGTGCCTTGTGGAAATACAGGGTGAACAAGACAGATAGTGGTGTCCCTACTTCTACATTCTAAAAAACAAAAACAAAAAAACAAACAAAACAAAAAAACAGTGAACAGGAAAATAGTAGAAGGTTGTGATAGAAAACAATCATGGAACATAGATAGGAAAAAACTAAAGGTTAGAGCAGAGGTGAAGTAGTAGAGTGGCCAAGCGTAACCTCCCCGACATTTATGCTAAGAATTAAAAAGAGCTTGCTGTGTGAAAAATGGAAAGAAGAACAAAGAGAATAAGAGCATTTCAGACAGAAAATTTGGCATTTACAAAGGTGGAAAGCTCCTAGGACTCATTCCAGTGGTAAAAGTCATGGACTCGTTTAATGGCTTCAGATGAATTTGGAGAGGCAGAGAAGGGCCATGTATTCTATAGTCTTAACTAATTATTTAGTGAGGTCATAGTAAAGGGATGGAGTGGTAATGCAAGGCAGTGATTCTCAAACTGGGCGTGGATCAGAATCACCTAGAGGACTCATTAAATATAGGTTGCTGAACCCACTGCCAAAGAGTTCCTGATTCTAAAGGGTGGGACCTGCAAATTTACATTTCTAACATATCCTCGAGTTGGGCTGATGCTGCTGTGCAGAAACCAGACTTTGAAAACCACTGCTCTAAGACAGTGAGAAACCTGTCAGAAATATGTCTAATAGGATTGTCACAGTGTAGGGTCTAAGAGGGAGGTGTATCAAAGATAACTCTGAAGCTACAATGTCATAAGGTCCAAAGGCAAAATATGTAGGACAGATTCCTTAGGTGGGGTGGATATGAGATGGAACGGTCAGCAGAAATCTTCCATGGGTTTCAGTGGATATGGGAATTCACAGATCCAGAAGTCTTTCACAGATAGATGGTAGAGAAGGTAAAAATGTGGGAGAAGAAGCACACAGAGGCCGGAATATGATACTATGAACCCAGGATTTCTCCAGGCCCTCCTAGCCACCCTTTCCTCCTGCAGATTGGGGCCAGAAATCTCACTGGATGACCCTGCCCAAGGCCAATCCAATATTGACTACAAACTCAGTCTGCCAGTAGGTGGGGTCTACAGTTAGTCTTGATCTCATACCTAGTAGTACTAGGTGAGCCATGTTGTCCTTGCCATCTCCCTCCTTTACCGTATTACTGGAAACTGGACTTTACTTCTTTTTAAAAAAAAAAAAAAGATTTATTTTATTTAATTATACAAACACTGGGTACAGTCAGAAGCGTGGGAGGGTGAGATATTCACCAGAGCCAGAACGGAGAGCAGAACAGGCAGACTGACGAAGTACACTGCTGAGGTGAGTAGCGGCGGCAGGAGAGGTCTGCGCGCCATGTGGGACCCTCGCCAGGCGCCAGGGATTGAACCGGCACTGCAGAGGCTGCGGGCAGCTTCTCAACCCAGTGCTCAACCGCTGCGCCACCAGGGAGGCCCTGGACTTTACTTCTTACAACCTAAGATGAAAGTAACTAACTCCCTCAACCAATGACACTGACCGGGGACACAGCCTCCACATGAATGAGCCAAATCTGCATTTGCCCTCCTTTGCCTTAGAATGTTCCACTATTTTCATGTGGTCAGTTAAATTTTCCGGGTCAGTTCCACCGGCTTCCTCTTCTCCCTATCAGGTTGTGCTGCTGAAAGCAAGTTGAAGTTATGAGGGCTGCTTTGATGGGCAGGAAGACCAATAAGTGACATGAAGCAGTTTACCCAAAAGAACAGCCAAGAACCATGGCAAAGACATGAAGGCCAAAGACATGGAGGCCAAAGAAAAAAACAGTTTTTAAAAGAGACAGAGAGCTCCAGATACCTCTAGAACTATTGAAAGTGTAAGAAATCAGAAAAAAATAATAACTAAACATGTTTTGTTAATGATACATGACAACTTCATAGAGAACAGCTAGCAAAAGTGGGTGGATGGAAGAAAACAGCAATCAAAACCCAATAATGTGCATCTAATGTTATTAAGTTAAGTACTACACAAATAATGGAGTGATAATTATTCATTGTGCACACGATGCTCGCTCTATGCCCTGGGCACTTCTAGCCCTACTTCAATAGGGGAATAATTGGCAGTTAACTACACTATTAATTATGCCAAGATTTGCTTGGAGATACACTAAAGGCCAAAGGATGAGCAATATCTATGTGTTCCTTTAATTTTGTACCCTGAGAAGAGCAGATGGAATGCCGTGTTCAGGGTCATCTTGAGCCCACCACTAATCCAGTAGACTGAAGTTCTGACATGCTCTATTTTGACAAGGAAACCAGAGTGTCTATGCTGTAAGCCTACACAGGTTTGTGTGCAAATGGAAGTGTAGCACAGCAGGGGTTAGAAGTATTCTTGAGTTCAACACCTGAGACATTTATTAGCAGGCCCCCAACAGACAGTATTCTCCTCTCTCTGATTCATCCATCCTTGGCCTGATGATAAATGTTCCCTAGTCCTTGTTCTGTTGACAAGAAGCAGATGATCCAAGATAGGTAGGAACACACACAAAGCCCATAGCTTTTCACACCTAGATTTTCTACAAAATGGATTGTGCTGCATTGCATGCATAACTTCTGGAACCTACTGGAACCTGAAGGCATTGAACCAGTGCTCTCCAATGGACCCAATGATAGAAATCCTGTTTTGTGCTAACAGTGATCATCATGTGGCTAGTATGGTCTTCACTAGCCACATTTCATCAAGAACTTGAAATGAGGCTAATATAACTGATCAACAGAACTTTTAATTCCATTTAATGTTAGTTAATTTAAATTAAATGGGGATATATGATAGTGGTACCACTCCAAAATGCTCTGTGGCTTTGCTTCCTTCCATGTGCACTCACTTCTTGGGCAGCCTGCCTAGGCTGGGGTGGGAGGGTGGGGGGCTCAGGACCTCAGAGCCTCTTAGCACCGGTGATATGCATCTTGCAGGATGATATTTCATCTTGGACAGTTTCCTTCCTCTTATCAAAGCAAAGTAGAAATCTGTCTGGAATTACTTAAGGAGATGAAGGATGAACATATTAACAGCCTATAGATAACAAGAAAGTCTTTAATGATGAATGTGGTACCTATTAAATGCTGCCAAATCAATTTGTGCAAAATAATAGAAAATAAGGATGAGCTGTGACTGACAGGAAACAATTAATTTTTGTGATTTTTGCCTTGAATTATTTATTCCAAGAAGGGTTGTTGCCCTCCCTTAAATCTACATCTACTTGACCCTGAGTGTGGCTAGAAAAACTCAATGGATGAGCCTCTCTTGCTAGATTGTTGAGTGACTGCCTCTTCTGGTTTCTTTTCTCATGCTCTTGACTCTTCATCAAGGTTTGCTTTTTTCTTTCTTCCCTAGTTTGCAACATTTTAGCTATAGAAATAAGTGCTTGTTGAAACAACAATAAGAGAGCAGTATCTACATCTGTCTCTCCCAGGAGGTGTCCCTGCACAGTCATGCCAGACACACATGTGCCAGAGAGAACGAAGCTTAGAACCTGGGAAAAAATGAGGTATCAGGGGGTCATTTTACTCCTGGAAAAGGAACAAATGACTGTGACTAGTTGGCTCATGTGGTGAAGTTACTCCTGACTTCCTTGACCTCAGGCCTCCATGGCTCCTTCCTACAGAACCCAGTCCTAGGGAACCCTCTTACAAATGCATATGCACCCCCAACATGTAGGTGACTCTGCTCACCTCAACTCTGTGGCTGAGGATCGCTAAGAAGGACACAAACACCAGAACTGCTCCCAGGGGCTTAGCTTGATATTACTCTCTCTCAGCTATTGAAGAATTTTCACCTTAGCTGCTTGAGTCTTCAAGCTTCCTTGGAGAAGCCCTTCCCCTTACCCAGGTACATTAAGCCCCTGGCATAGAAAATGAGATTTGATCACTTTAGGAAGTAGCATGGTTTTAAGGGTAGTATTTTGGAGTCAAACTGACTGGGATGTGTTAATCCCATTTCTGTCACTTATAGATTGTTTAACTAGTGAAGTCACAAAACATCCCTGAGCCTGTTCCCTCATCAGTGAGGGGGTGATAAGAGTTTAAATGAGGCATGTGGCATTTCTAGTGCAGTGGCTTACATGTGGTAAGGTGGCTGGCATGGTTCTAGTAGATTAAACCAAGGAATCCAGAAGATCATTCCCAGCTAGCCTCAGAAACTGAAACCTTCCTCCCCCAAACCTAGCCTTCCAAATTCCTGCCCTTTTCTTTATTCCTCTTTCTTCATCATGGTCATATCATTCATTCATATATCCAATAAATGCCCCTAAGATCCTACTGCATGTCAGGAACTGTGCTACATGCTAGGGATACAGCGCTGAACAAGACTCCTGACCTCATGATGCTCATATTTTGGAGGGAAATAGATGGTGCAGACTCAATAAACAAACAAAGACAACTTATCAGATGGTGATTAATGCTATGTGGAAAGATAAAGTAGAGTGAGGGGATATGATGAAGCTGATAGGAGGCTGTTTAATGTTTACGGCTGGTATGTGATCTATAACATCACAGGTGTCTGTGTGTACACAGAGTAGGAAGGTGGATCCTTTATTTCGTGGAGTGAAGGCAAAGATCCAGAAGACACTGGGGGAAGGGACTTAGAGCTAGGAAAATGGGCTGCAGAAGAGTTGAGAAGGCAAAGAGAAGATACAAGTAGGTGATATGGAGTAGGGTGAGCAGTGGAGGGCAGGTGTTCAGGTAAAGAGTGAAAGTCCTGAGATTTCCCAGTTGATATAACCCACAAAGCCCACAGCAGAAATGTGCATGACTTGGTAACACTCTTGCAACTATTTGTTTGGGGAGGGGGGTACTTTAGATCTGTGACATGTGGAACTGACCACTGGGTGAAGACCAGGCTGACCCTAAAGGGTCCGATATTTGTATATCCCTTGCTTTAAATAATCCAATTTTATTAACAAGTATAAAATAAAAAGTCCATGTGCCTTTCATTGTTCCCCAAATGCCAGTCTCCAAAAGTAACTAATTTTATTTTATTTATTTTTTAAAGATTTATTTTTATTTATGCGTACCGGAACTGGGATGTAGGCCAGAGGTGCAGGGGTGAGAGGACTCACCAGAGACAGAGTGGGGAGACGAACAGGTGAATCTACATAAATACTGAGGGGAGCAGTGGGCAAGACAGGAGAGATCTGCTACGCCATATGTGAGTTAGCTCCCTGGCTGGGGATTGAACTCAGGCAGTAGCAGCAATAGCTTGATAGCACTGAAACTTAACCCCTCTGCCATCAGGGAGGTCCAAGTGACTAATTTTAAAAGTGAAATGTGTCTCTGTTCTAATTTGTTCCTATAAATGGATAAACACACATAGTATTTAAAAGTAGACAATGGTTTCCTCTTCTCTGTTTTTTAAAAGAGATCTGATATTGTGGTTTTCCAGGGACTAAATCCTAGAAAACTATAGGAATATTCCGGTTCAATACTGCACCCTCAAGCCATGGCCATTTTCAATGAAAGACCTCCCTCTTGTCCCCACAGTCGTGTCCTAACCATTTCTCAGAATGCTCCACATCTCCCTGCCATTCTCTGCCAACAAATGCTTTCTCCAGCAGGTATTTATAGGCATACTGATACCTTGACTCCAGCTCATCCTCTAGTCATTAAATAAGAGATTCCCTGACACTCGAGGCTCCATCACCTGAAGTAGGGTGGAGTCAGAGACAGGGAACTAAATAAATCACCTCTCTGTGTGCTCTGGAAGGGAGAGAAGCTGAGCAACATGTTGCCATGGAAATCAGCTTCTGTTTACTAGAGGCTTCCTCAGTTGGAGTGTGGCAGGTTAGACTGGAGGACAGCAGTTCTCAACCTTGGCTACACACTGGATCACCTCAGTGCTGTACAAATACTGACACCAGGTCTCACCCCCAACAATTCCATTTCATTAGTTTGTGCCACAGGTGGGTATTCCCAGGTAATTCTAATGTGCAGGTCAAGGCTGAGAGCCACTGCGCTAGGACAGTCCTCCCTGTTCTGGTAAATTAGTCATTACCCTGAGCATCAAGCATCAGTATAAATGTATCCTGCACTTTGTTAAATTTTAATACTTTGTCACATTCAGCTGGAGAAGCTGTCTGTGCATTTGTCCACCTTTCAGAAATAATGCATCTCTATGCAATTTCTCCTCTTTTCTTTGAGTTAGTCTTATTCCTGGTGAGAAGGAGCAGTGTGCGTGGAAGTCAAAGGAGCAGTGTGCTGCTCTCTTTTCTGGAAATATCATCATCGTGCTGGGAGAGCACCTGTGTGCACCAGCCTTACAGTAATTATCTGGTCAGTTACTCCAAGCTCTAAGTACTCATAACCTTTGCATTCCCTTCAGCATGCAAGCTATGGAGGCAGGAAAAGGAACAAAGGGCGTCCCTGGAACTTCATGAACAAACTTCCAGTAGCATCGTGAATGGTCCTGACTTGGGGACCTCACCTGCTTTTTTTTGCCCTTTCCCTCACTCAGCTTGACAGATTCCATGGCTAATGTTACGTGCAGCCATTCAGGCCAGAGAGCACCCATCTCCCCTTTGTTCATGTGGCACATTGATCTGCGTTCCCCTTTGTAGTTCATCTTTCTTGGGTGTGGGGAGCCGCTCAGGCTGAGAATTGCCAAGGAAGGAGACACAATGGGTGTTAGCTATGGAATGGTGGTAACCACTGATGGGCACAGGACTTGTATCACTTGATTTATTTTCCATTTGTAATAGTGGAACAGAATTATGAGTCCCCTGGGACCAGCCTTCTCTGTCATCTCTCCTTGGGAAGACATCTGATCTGGGCTGATTTACATCTCCCCCTCCTGGACACTCAGTCATTGTCCCTGAAATGGGTCATAGCCAGCCCTACCCTAACTTGTCCCTACTGATTTTCCTGTCCTCATGCCCGCTAAACACAAGCCCTTGAATGTAGGCAATTCCAAGGGTCTAGCACAGAACTTACAATATAGGAGGGGAATTTATTCATGCCTGCTAGTAATGGATGCTTGTCAGTGAGCATGTTTCTCACAACCTAAGTACACACATTAGATGCTCACAGACCTAGCTCTAAATTCTGTGCTTTACTTCAAGGATGCCTGACCTTGGACAAGACAATTCCCCTTGCTAAGCCTCATCTCTTACTTCCAGAGTGGAGCTAGGGGAGGGATCCTACCAAGGAAGTATTAAATGTGATCATGTGTGCAGTGTTATGGGAGCAGAACTCCATTAATGTTAGTTATTAAGCCATTATTATTTTTAATTTCATTATAGTCTGTGTGATAAGTTAATTTTAATATCACCTGCAAACAGACAAATAAATTTATGTTGCCAAAATAACTTTAACCATCTAACCTTGATATTAATTCTATTTAAAATAAAACAAAAACACCTGAGAAAGTGATTTGTAAGGTTTAAGTGCTGTGTAAGAATAAGCTGACACACCATAAGCAGAATGTGACTATCAGCTACCAACATACAAGTTGTGGCCCTCTGAGATGGGGAGTTTAGTCTCAGGATGTTCTAGTAACGCATAGAAAGAACACTGGACAGGACATCAGGCTGGCAGCTGTGTGGCAGACAAGACAAGATGGCAGAATTTCTGTGGCAAGACTGGCCGGCACTGTGAAGAGTCCCCTTAATTGGAGGAACAGCAGGGGCAAGGATGGTCTGTAGTAATGCACTTGCCACTACTGAGTGAATTTGTACAGTGCTTGTAAGAGCCAAGACCTGTGAGTTACAACCAAGATTCTCTCTCCTGAACATTATTGGATCAAAATCTCAAATCATCAGAGGGTAAGGTCTCCACTCACAAGTCAGTGTAAGGACACTAGAAGCCAGGTGTTTCCTGATCTCATTGAGCCTTCACAGAGGACCCAATGGCCCCAGCTCTTTTTACCCTTTTTTCTAAGTCACCAAGGTATGACATGCAGAAAGGGAAACTAAATGCAGAAATTTAAATTGAAAAGCAGTTTCTAAAATCACTGAGCCCTCCAGACAGCAGCCGTTCAAATATTGGGTCAAGGTTTGAAAGGCCATGTGAAAAAGGAAACTCTAGTGGATGTGAGTCGAGAAGCCGGTGCGCATTGGGTCCTACCTACTTTGTGAAGAAATGAAGGTCTTCATGGTGAGGCATTGATGAACACTGCAGATGTGGAATAGTCATCCTTCATCACTGTGTTATTTTGCTTAGAGCACCAACGCTACATTATGTCTTAAAACTTGTCAAATTGTGCACAGTACACTGACTTCATAGGGAAAAAAGAGGGCTCTCTAAAAATATAAAAAAATCAGTCATTTCTGGTAGAAGGAGACATTATAACTCAAAAGTCCTGCAGATAAATAATAATTAGGAATGACATTTACTTAGTAGAGCACACAGAAAACAACATTCTCTATCAGCCACAACCTGAAATGGCTAGTTTCATGCTCCTCAATACAACTAATAAAAGGCCAAGCAGACAGTATTTAGGAGTTAACTGGAATTTTTTCTTGAGTTGGGAGGGGAAACTACTTTAAGAAAGCATTTTTTTCTTCCTGAGTATTTTGCAAATAAGAATGGGAAAGTTCTCTAGTTGTCTGAAAATGTTACAAAACCACCTGTCTGCCCTTCAGGAGATAAAGAACAAAATCAACAAAATCTGCATCTGACTATGCACACAGAATTAATCAAAGGAAGATTTCTTTAAGAGAATTTTTTAAGATGGAACTTCTTTGAAGAAGCCGAAGAATGATAAGGCTGAGGGTCATCAAGGTACAGAGAAGGGAATGTATGCACCTCCACGACAGAACCAGGGCCGGGAAGATGCCCAAGTGCCGCATTTAAAGGGGAAACATTCAGGAGAGCAGGGCCATTCCTGGACATCTCTCTGCTGCCCATTTATCCAGGCCCTGCTCCTAAACTCTTCATTGTCCTGGCAATTTTAAGGCTGAATCTGAGTTATCAGGAAGTGAAATGACTTATCCAAGCTCTTCCTGTTAGTCAAGGACAGACCTGGAGAGAGGGAAACACAGCAGGTTGAAAGATAAGCAAAACTAATAATAGTTTTGTCTTGTGGAGGGGGCCAGGGAGAATCACATATCTTTATTGTAGCAATTTTTGGATATCTTTCCTTATGAATTAGGAAACATTTAGAAAATATTGGGGAAATCAGTATGGCTACCAAGGTACTACAAGTGAAACATTCCCCAGAGGGTAGAAACCTCCAGCAGGGTATGCACCAGACTATATAGATCTGGTGCACCAACACTGCGGTGTCCCCATGAATAATCTGTGATCAGAGGATAATAATTAAGACGTGGCAATGCCCACTTAGTTAATTAGCTAAATTGGCAAAACTCAATTTAAATAGCAATTTTGTCTCTAGTAGTAGAATTATAGCAGCACCCTTCATTTAATGAGCCAGACACTTAATAATTCAAACATCCTTAGAGAAAAATCAAACAAAGCTTTGCCATCATGGATTATCATTTCAATCACTCCACCCTGTAACTTGCCACTGTTCTGCAAACACAGTCACTTGGGCACTCTGGGAGAAGAGGTTTGGGGTTTAGTGCCCAGCTTACAGGAGTAAAACTCAGTTAGGTGATTTCCCTAAGGCCATGCCATAGTCCACATTCTATTACCCAAATCGTAGTCTTGAAAATTTCTACTGACATCTTCAGCTGAAAGACGTCTTTTAGTGGCAGTGATTTAGAGTAAGTGGCAGTGATTTAGAGGGGCCAGAAAACTATCAGGTAGCTGTCTGTTTTCATAAATAAACTTTTATTGGCACACAGCCATGCCATTTGTTTTACACATTGTCCGAATGCTTTCCCCACGACAGAAGAGCTCAGTATTTCCAGTTACTTCCTGATCTATGCTATTCCTGCACTGCGTTTCCTGGGGCTGTGAACTTGGATTACTTCCCACTTCTCTCTCCTATGTATTTTTATATATGTGTATATGTGTGTGTGTGTGTATGTATATATATATATATATATATAATATGGTTTCCTTAAACATAAAACAAAGGAATATGAAATATGAAGTCTGTCCTCTGAGGCTGTCAGGATGAGGTGAGATTATACATGATTATCTGTGCTTGGCATGTAAAAAGTGTTCAATAAAATACCAACATGATAACTATAACAATACTGATAATAGTAATGTGCATTGGGTACTTACTATGTAGCAGATCCTCTTCTAGGCTCTTTAACTACTTAATAGCCACAATAATCTTATGAGTTTGATATTATAGTTATTTAAATTTTCCACATGAAGACAAAGAGTACTTACTTTTCTTTTACCCTGTCTTCTAAACTCTCTTTTATTTACCTCCTTTATATAACACTTTTGCCCAGAAGTAACTCCTCTCCTGAATCGTAAGCTGTTCACTGGCATGAATCGGATGTGCTTCATTATCCCTGGGCCTATAAGGCAGGGTATTTGCAGACATCTGGGATGTTAACCAATTTACTTGTGGACACTAACAACATTGAAATCAAAGTGTCTTCTCTCAGATGATGGTGGGTCCTTTTCTCCATCTTGCCAGCCTAGTTTTGTTTCTTTGTCTTTCAGACCAACTTCTGCCTGTTACAGTGTAATGGGAGGGAGACATCACCTCCAGGTGATATAGGTGGGGAAGGAAATAGAGGAAACTCAAGCTGACTAAAATCCTGAGATCCTGGGAGCCATTAACTTTGAAACAGCCAGATACTCATTCCTTCAAACTAACGTGTAGTATGTATCTATAATTCACTGGTCGTG